AAATCGTGTTTAACTACAAATTCGAATTAATCGATAAAATCAATTTATCGCCCAGCCCTAATTGCAATGCATTGATGTATAAATATTTTTACCCACCCCTAGTGTATACTGAATCTGATGCTGAACAGCTCCCTATCAGTTAAATCTTCACATACAGATTCATTTCCTGTAAGGGGGCAGAATGTGTTTGTTGTGTTTAACATTTAGAAACCTCTAATGTATGTCTTTAGAATGTTTGTATGATGTACACAGTTACTGGTTTATTAGGTACACCTATAATCTAATGCAATCCAATACATTAATTGACCTCAACAAACCCTACCATAATGAAACATAGTGGTTTTTTTTGGGGTTTTTTTTTTTAATAAAATATACAAGACATAGCACACGGTTTTTCATCCAGTCCTTCAGAAAGGTTGCTACATGCTTCCTTGGACTGTCGATTTTATTCAAAATGTACAGTTTATAAGTGCAGCAGACTGTTTGAAGTAATTTGCCTTGTGGTCCAGCAGGGGGTGTTCCACTATAAGCTTAACATATGGCGTGCCCTATTGACCTGTCAGTTAACTAAGCTAGCAATGTTATGTCTTTTTCATTACAGCAGGCCAATGAGGCTCTGCATCACCAGCACCAAGTAGCCGGGAACAGCCTCTTGCCTTTGCTCAGTTCTGGAACAGAGCCACCTGATCAGAAACCGGTGCTGCCCATTCCCTTGGACCAGAAACCCCCTGTCAGTGCTGCAGAACTTCTTAAAGACAATGTTGCTAGTGGGACTGGCGGGGGAGGTGGTGGAGGGCCTCCAATAGCTGTGGTGAAAAAGGAGCCTAAATCAAAGACACCCTTCATCTGTGGCTACTGCAACAAGGCCTTCCGAGACAGCTACCACCTGCGGCGGCATGAGTCTTGCCACACTGGCATTAAGATGGTTTCGCGGCCTAAGAAGACACAAACAGCCCCCACCATGGTGCCGCTCATATCCACTGTACCACGTGAGAATAGCGGAAATCCTTCATACATTACTACTGTAGCTGGTATCCTGACTACAGCCACCACGTCAACATCCACAGGCACTAGCATCATGACCCCAATGCAGCACCAACAGCAACAGAGTATCCCCAAAAAGCCCCCCAAACCAGTGAAAAAGAATCACGGCTGCGACATGTGTGGTAAGGCCTTCAGAGATGTGTACCACCTCAACCGCCACAAGCTGTCACACTCTGATGAGAAGCCGTTCGAGTGTCCCATCTGCCAGCAGAGGTTCAAGAGGAAGGATCGCATGACATACCATGTCCGCTCCCATGACGGTGGAGTTCACAAGCCTTACATCTGCTCTGTCTGTGGGAAGGGCTTCTCCAGGTATGTGGATGACATCCTTTCTGAACCTTTTCAATGGGACATGGAAACACAGTTGTTACTCTTTAAAATAGTATATTTTTCTTTTAAAAAGCCTACCATTTACCATGATAGATGTTGTTTCTTTCATGATAAATATGATAAAAAAATTACATATATCCTGAGTACGATGCAATTCTTATTTATCTAAATGCTCACTGAAAATGTATTTGACACATTCAAATAGCAGCTGTTGCCTGCTGGTTTAGTAACCTTTTTTTTTATAAAAAATTATAATCCAGATACTCAAAACTTTTTAAGATTTTTTGCTTAAATTATTTCAATGATATCAATACGAACTTAACTGGAGCATGCAACTCCTGACCTTATGTAACACAATCTGCTAGAGAGAAGACCTATCTTTGGAGTTGTTTGAACTATAAAAAGTACATTTACGGTTGTATGGTGGTGTTATAGAGTGAAGGTTCATCCCTTACAAAACATCTTTGGCTCTGTACAGACACTGGAATGCAGAGAGCGCTTTAACCAGTCAGACAAGTTTATTTCTTTCCGGTTAACAAACTACTCACAGAATTCCCGTTAATTAGTGTCACTGATATGATCTGCCACCAACACTTGTCATATTAACCAACCAGTGCTGGATGAAAATGAGGAGCTGCTTCCTGTTTTGTAAACTGCACTACATTAGTTAATGAAAGACAGAGTCAAAGTCTGAGTGTAGCAAAGTGTAGCATGTCTGTGTAATGTTTAGGATGTGAAAATACTCATTTTTTTTGTTTTCACATTCTCACACACTATTTTTCGCTCTCATGCGAACGGAATGCTCGCAGTGTAGAGCCTGACTGCCGCCAAGGAAAGCAGCAGCAGCGGGCTGAGGTGGACAAAACATGCTCAAACTGATCTTTAGGATAGGCTTAGGATGGACATCTCCTATTAAAAATCTAATTAAAGAGACCCAGCATTTACAAACTATAATATATAATATATAACTATAATAATTTTATTATTAATTAGTTAGATCTCAGATGTTTAACTGGTTCAGTTTGGGTACAGGTGGAACCTTATGTATAGTTATTGAATGTAATTGTTGATCAGAGATGAGTTTTCTTGATATTTTTAGGAACTTGTTTTTAGTACATACTAGTATACAGTAATGAGTTTCTTTTTTTGACTTTCAGTGTTTACTTCTCATTGTTCTGTTGAATTGATAGTATAAATAACATTCTATAAACAACAATTTCATTTAGTTTTGAATGTAATGAATTCAGGAATAAATGGAATTCTGAGATATAGGCCTACTCTATTTACATTTTTTAAAGTTTTCTTCGACCCCTTAAAATCACAAAGGCCTTGCAACCCTCAGTTTGGGAATCAATGACCTAAGAATACAGTACATTACCAACTATGGTAGTACACTGCTCATACTATCTAAAGCAACCTTTACTGTCAAAAGAGCCATTTTTGGCCAAAAAAACAAAATCTGTTTAGAGACGCAAAACAATTTTGAGCCTTATAATGCTTTTCTTTCTAATTATAATGCCAATAACCCTTAGAATGCTAATTTATTGTTGCAGATCAAGCCAATCAAGACTAGAGTTGTTCCAATACCAGTATCAGAAATTGCTCCG